TTTTGTTCAGCAAGACATTGATATTAGCAGGGTGTGGTGGGCATGCTCTAATCCTAGTGCTGGAGCAACAAGAATGAGAAGAGTATGAGTTCAAGGTCACCCTAAACTGTATAACAAGACCCTTTGGTGAGTATAGATAGATAGGTAGATAACAGATAGATGATAGATAGACAGACACACACACACACACACGTGTGCGTATACACACACACACACTCACACGGAAGCTACTAAATATCAAACATCTTGTTAGTATGTAAACTTTAAGATATCTCGATGAGCCTCTGGCATTTGGCATGTGCCAGTAACTTAGCATTTAGAACACAAAGGCAGGAGTAGTTCAAGGTCATCCTCATCTACATAGCAAGTTCAAGGTCACCCTAGGCTACATGAGACCCTATCTCAAAAATAACAGGATATTGTCCAAAGAAAGAATGGGGGGAAACTGAAATAAATATTACATATACAAAAATTACGTAATTTTTGTGATGATAAGAATTATTTTCACATGCCCTAGTGTTTCTGTCATTTTCCTCTAACTCACTTGTTCTGCCTGAGACAGTCACCAAGATCGTATGCAGCAATCCTCTTAGAGAAGACAGATAGATGTCAGGGACACATTCTTCTAATCTACTGGTTTGATGGCATTCGGTTTTTAAAATTCTTATCTACTGAAATAATGCTAAAACCATGTAATCAGTGAGTCAATACTGCACACCAGGGAGGCTTTTTCATATTAATAATATCCAGCTGTTTTTTTGATGAAATAAACTCATAATGACAAGTAACCTGTGCAGAGATTAATTGCTTCTAAGAGAAGTGTCTTGAAGTTTGATGTTGAGAATATAAATCTTTTGTCACAATGATAATGCCTACTACAATGTTTCATGCTCTAAATATATCCTTCAGTTTGATTTTCCTAGCTTTATATGAGCTAAGTCCTTCTGCAAGAGAGAAGAGGCAGAGGTAGTGTTGCAAGCTAATTTACCCAGCATGACTCAGGTAGTAAAAAATGGAACTCCCTGTAGCCACCCCCATTCCTAGACAATCCAAGGCCCTGTTCCATGCCTTCATGAGCAGGAAGCCACTGCAAGCACCTCTTTGGCCAACCTTTCTTTCAGTTTTTATCATAAATTCAGCCTCTTCTCTCTTTCATTTATTTAACAAATAAGCCCTGCATAAGCTTTCTCTTTAAAAAAAAATAATGTATAAGGAAATAAGAAAATGTATATGATTTAAGGTTTATAAACTTCCATTGTTGTTGCACAAAAGTAGGATCTTATGAAACAAATAATAACTAAATGAAAAAAATAAGACTGTCATGGTCTGGGAGGACAGCTCAGTGATCCTTGCCACACAAGTGTGAGAACCACAGTTCAAATCCCAGCATCACATAAAAGCCAGACTGGGTTGTCAGTATACTTGTAATCCCAGAATTTGAAAGGTGCAGACGGGAATCCCCCAGAAACACCAGCTAGCTAGACTGCCAAAATGGAGAGCACCAGGTAAAGCAGGAGACCCAGGAAACAGTGTGGAAAGTGATAGAGACATACATCTGATATCAAGTGCTGGCTCACACACACACACACACACACACACACACACACACACACACACAAAGACTCATATATATATATATATATAACCAACTGCATGTGCAGCATGCATATACAAACATCAGGCATATACAAACATCAGGCACACACACATAAACACATGAAAAAAGAAAATTTAAGTGTTGAATCTTGACAAAACTTTGATCATACCATACATGTATACCAAACTTTTTGAAAAGATACTTAAAAATGAATTTCATCTAATTTTGAACTGACAATCAAAGGGACTATAGCAGATAGCAGAATGGGTATCACTAAAGATCACTAAAATAATATTGATATAACACTAAACATTTTAATGTATTCTATTATTTTAATTATGTGCATGAGTTTATGTGTAGGTATGTTCATATGAGGGCATGTTCCCACAGAGGCCAAAAGACATCCAATCCCCTGCAATTAGAGTCACAGGCAGTTGTGAGCTACCTGACATGGGTGCTGAGAACTATACTCAGGTCATCTGCTAGACTAGCATGCACTCTTAACAACTGCCTTTCCAGCACATAAACATTGCTAATTTTTAAATATAACATTATTGCACAGGAAAGATGACTCAGTGTGTGGGACGTTTGCCTTGAAAACAAGAGAAAGTGAGTTTGATCCCTGAGTGCACGTTTGAAAAAAAAATTCATCCATTATAAAATGACTCACAACAACTTTCTGTTCTATCCATAGACAAGTGCCTTGCTCATCCATCTTCAGGGAGGTTTCTTCTTGCAATAGATGGGAACTAACACAGAACCAGAGGTGGTGGAAGACTCTAAGAAAACAGCATCTTCTAAAAATGTGGGTGTCAGTGAGGAGGCCTAGGTAATCTATGGGGCCTTAGGTAGTATTTATCCCTGGTGTACAAATAGACTTTGAGTGCCCATGCCACAATATGGGAGGCTCTCTCAGCAGGGACTCTTGGGGGGAGGGCCTAGGCCTGCCCCGGATGAAATGACAGTTATTGGAGATCCACCATGGAGTGCCTCACCCTCCTTGGGGATCGGACTGGAGATTGGGTGGGGGACTGGGGAACCTGCTGGGGAGGGAGGGGGAGGAAGGGAGGGAGAGGGTTTGACATGTGAAACAAGATTGTTTCTAACCTAAATAAATAAAAAAAATTTAAAAAAAGAAATCAACAAGTGAGGAATAAAAGAGAATTACCTCAACATAATAAAGACTACATGCTAGAAAAAATGAAAATAAGATAAAAATAAAAATAACAGAACTGAGGCACATATGACCTTACAGTGAGTGGGAGCACACCCAGGGTTGGCACAGGTTTGAGCCAGATAAGATCCCAACACTGAGGAGGAAGTGGACATAGCTCCCACTGCTGACCAAGAAGCTATCTACAGTTGATACCTGCTTGCAATGGGAAAATCCGTTTTCTCCAGTGGAGTCTCATTGGGTATATTAATTAGCTCACCAGATGAAAAGTGAACTCAATGGTATTTTTTGTAGATTTGTCTCATATTGCTTTGTTTAAACATTTTTGTCCTATTGGTCTTTTGCTTGTTTAGTGTGTGTGTGTGTGTGTGTGTGTGTGTGTGTGTGTGTGTGTGTTTTCTAACAGAAAGAGAATAGGTGTGAAGTTGCATGAGTGGGGAAGAGGAAGAATCTGAGAGGAGCTGGGGAAGGAAAAAAAGTGTGATCAGAATAATATCGGTGAAATTTTTTTCAGTAAAAAACAAATAACAATAAAATAAAGTTATGCATTGTGACACATTCTTGAAGGAGTGGAGAAAGGCAGATCTCTGCATTGGCTGGTCAGCCTAGCCTACTTTGTAAACTGCAAGAAAATGAAAGATTCCATCTGAAAAAGAGTGAATGTGCCTGAGGAATGACACCTAAAATTACCATCTGGCTTCTATGTGCAAGCACACACATGTAGGCATGTGTTACAAACTTGCACACATTACAAACATGCATATACCCCTGCATATACATATAAAATATGATTACTATGATAACATTATTTTTAAATAAAACTATTACAAAATCAATTCATCTTCCATTTTAACAGAAATTTTTGCTCTACAAAATTGTCAAGTAATATATCAACAATAAACTCTGCTGAAGATATGAATATAATGTTTATTCAACTTAAGATTCTATTAGAATTATATCTAAATAGCCTAGGATGAGATCTACCTTTAATCCAAAAGCTGTGTATTTTCTTTAAAACATAAGTATACTTTAAAATGACATCTTTTTTAATGTTAGACTGACCATTTGGGTCTTGCTTTGGGCAAAAAACACAATGAGACCTTACTGAATTTACTGTAACATAGGGAAAGAAAATGCCCAAACATATCTGCAAAGGGTTCTATTATAAACAAAATATTTAGGCAGGTGTGGTGTATGGCTTTAATCCCAGCATATGAGAGGCAGAGGTAGGCAATACACTATGAGTTCAAGGCCAGCCTGATCTAAGAGCAAATTCCAGGCCTGCCAGAGATAGATAGTAAGACTGTCTCCAAGCTGTAAAATATTTTGGGCCAACAGATAGTCAAGACCTGATTTCTATCCCAGAACCCAGATGGTGAAAGGAGAGAACTGACTTCTGAAAGTGGTCCCCTGAACTCTACATGTGCCATCCAAATTAAAATAAGTAAATAATGAAATTTTTGAAGAAAAGAAGTTGAAAAGTATATTTGGTTTGAAGTTTTGACATAGCTGCATGGAGCTTGGGCTTTCTGATGCCAGAAAAGAAGAGCATCTCAGTCACTTTCAGCTAGACAACGATGGTGTCGCTTTACTGTCTTCTCATTGGAAATCTTTGTGAATGTGAGAGTAGATGGGCAACAGTGGGGAGACAAGAGGAAAACAACTGGTTAAGCAAGAGTGTCTGATACCTGCCTTCGTAACTGAATGGCTCATCTCTTAGACAGACTGTTGACAGATGTCAAGATAAAGTATACAATTTTATGACTATCAATCAAGCATAAGATTCAGGAAAGAATTCTTTCCAGTCACTAAAGCTAAACTTAATTAACCCAATCAATTAGAAACATTCACATATATCAGATGGTAGAGCAGTCAAAATTTTCTAGAAAAACATAATTCACAAGGTTGATAGAGGGGTAGATAAAAAAGTAGATGATAGACAGACAGACAGACCTTGTGATAACAGACTGGCTCCAATGCTTATAGAGACTAATAAGTCCCATAATTTTCTTTATTCAAGATGGAGGCTCAAGGAAGCTCATTGTAGTAGCTTGAATGAGAATGGCTGTCACAGGCTCATATATTTGAATTCTTGGTTTCTAGTTGGTAGGACAGTTTTAGGGTTAGGAAGATGTGCTTCCTTGTCAGAGGAGCTGTGTCACTAGGAGTGTGCTTTAAGGTTTCAAAGACTCACACCATCCAGAGTATGTCCCCTAGCCTCCTACTTACCTATGAGAGTTCTCTGCTGTTCCTGCCACCATGCCTTTGTTCCACCACTATGGACTCTAACCCTTTGAAAACATAAGCCGAAATAAACACTTTCTTTTAGAATCTGCCTTGATCATGGTGTTTTGTCACAGCAATAGAAAAGTAATTACAACACTCAGGTAGTAGCCCAAAGCTTGAGAACCAGTCCAAGTGTGAAGGCTTGAGCACACAGAAGTTTCTAGAAGATGCTTAAGTCCAGTTTGTGGAGAGAGTAAATTTGCTGTTTCTGTTTTATGTTTGATTTGGGCTTTCAGGGAACCACATGTGGCTGCCCACATGGGTAATAGTGATCCTATTCAGTCTATTGACTCAAGCCATTGACTCGTTTAGAAACACCCTCACAGACATGATCAGAAATGTTGTTTTTATGAGCTGTTAGGACAACTCGGGGAAAACGTGCTGACGAGGTGTCACTGCCAAAAAGCTCAGATGTCACCAAGACCTACACCTACCAGATCCACATCAGAGCCTGATGCTCTGAAGTTCCCTTCCAGTTCTAACAATTATTACCTAAGCAGTGAGATGATGGGTCACTTTCTCAAAACATTCCAAAACAGAATGCTACAGGAGGCCCAAAGAAAAGCCTTCATAAACTGAACAGTGGTGGCACATGCCTTTAATCCCAGTACTCAAGAAGCAGAGGCACATGGGTCGCCGTGAGTTTGAGATCAGTGTGGTCTACCGAGCGAGATCCAGGACAGCCAAGGCTACATAGCAAAACCCTGTCTCACAAACAAAACAAAAGTCTTGGTATCAAACTGTCTGCTGGAATGTCTGAATATTTCAACAAATATATGAACTAGCCTTTTTCCACCAGCTCCATGACCACTATTATTAAATATAAATAAGAGAAGACACAGGAGTTAAAGAGCGTCTAAACCCATCATAAAACCGAAGATGCCACTGAGCAGGTACTGTGCTGTCTTCCTAATTTCAGTATATGTTCCTGATAGATTTCTCAAGGGCCATATGCTAGTGTGGACCCAGAGAATATATCTACATGTCTTATTGCCATTCTACTTCATTTACAAGCTAGTGTGTTATGGTTTATCATTTATACTGCATTTTACCTCTTCACCTTTCCATCTTTCTCCTAGCCAGGCATGTTCAGACTTCCTCTGATACCCATTTTTGCAATGTGGGCATGCACTGAGCTCGCCCCAAGCAGGACTCACCTGCTGAGAACAGAGGCTAATAAGTTCAAAGAGCTCCAGTAAATGGGCTGCCAGCCAACCCCTCCTCACAGCAGCTGTTAGATGAGCCTGTGTTGCCTTTAATTTATTAGCCTAGCACAAGTTAATTGCATTGTTTCCACAAACTAGAACATGTTGTTCATAGTAACTACATGATAATTCCTTTGAAAAACTACATTAATTGCACAGTGACGGTGCATCTCCCAGCAATTGCATGAGTAGCTGATGCATGTTTAAAGCTGTGCGTGACCTAAGTACCAAGGCAAACACTTCTGGAAGGGTTTATGCTCTGTTCTTACTCTGTCTCTTAAGACACGTCTTGTGTAAGGCTAGTGAATGTGCACATAGTTCTGTCTGAGCCAGTAGGGACGGCAGCAGTAACCTTGACCTTTAAAGCAGCCACACTTAGAAGGCAACAAACCTTTTCCAGGCATAGAACAGTGTGTACCCATGAAAGAAAAGGGTGTCAATGGTTGCCAAGTAAATACACACCTATATAAAGTTCAGCAAACACACAGACATAATGGTCTGTGTTTTCTATATAAACACAACTTAAACCACACTTCAGACCAAGGGCTTCTGAGAAATTATTGCACTGTTTGGATGTTTGGAGCTTCCTCTATAAGCTTCAGGATTTGGTCTTTTTTTTGCCTGAAGTATTAATTTGGCCTTGGACTTCACATATTATGGAATATTCTGCTTTGGGCTATGCTCATGGGAATAAACAAGCTTGGTGGTCTTTCTTGACATTTGCCTAGTGTCTTGACACTTGCCAAGCCCCTTCAACCTTTTTAGTCTGATAAGGAAATTGATACACTTGTTTTCTCATTTTCTCCCCTGAATGTCTGCTTTCGTTAGTCACTTCAACAGAAATGACTGTCATGAAATCAAGGTCACAAGGATACTTCGGGATTTAAATAAAATGGAAAGGTACTTTGATTACACAACTACTCACTGTTGGAAAGATAGACTCATAGAGTGCAATGAGCAGAGATTTCTTGCCCAAATATCACAACAAATTACATGCAGAAGCCTGGCTAAGTTTATAAGCTACAAAGAATATTTTCTTCCCCTTCTCCCCAACACTTGGGTTTGGATGGCAGAAACACCCTTTACTCAGTCCTGGCTACTTGGGGTTAACACGGCAGCAGACTCCAGGGTTTCAGCCTCACAGTTGTGTTTGAGCATTTAATCTAGGTGTAAATGCATAGGTCATCCCCTGACATTGATTCATGGTGTGCACAGGATCCTATATCTTCCTTATTGAGGAAAGCAACTCCTGCCTGGAGAGGGGAACCTCCTCTCATGACCTTGCCTACACTGGTTGTGGGGCTCTCACTTCTTCCTGCCCACTGCGTTTGTGAAGCAATCTGGCTTGTTAGCCTGACATGCCCGAGCCCCATAAATAATCACTGTTTCAGATTCAAGTTCAGTCCTCCAATGACTCATTTCCAAGTGGCCCCTGGGAATGATTTCTCAAGTTTTATGGCATATGACTTTATAAAATGAAAATTGCTTCTCAGAGATAGATTTAATTTCCAATAGAAATGAGTCTTTATGCCTTAGGTACTCTTGGAACAGGAAGAGAGCAGGATCTGTAAGTCTTCCATCCAGGGTAGACAGAATATATATATTCTATCTATGTCTATGTCTACGTCTGTGTATACATGTACAGATATTTGCAATGAGGAGCAACTGTGTCAAAGAAATAAAGAGAAATGGTGACACGTGTCTAGAACATTTGTCTGTCACTGTGTTGTTTAAATTCCTAATTGCAATTATATAATCACATTTAAAGGCTGTGAGAATTGGCATCCTACCAACTACTGAATGGCCTATGATCCAATTTCTCAAGAGACAGAGCATTCAGAAAATTTAAAAATCCCTCTGCTCCACTTTTAAAGAAAAAATCTCATAAATATAAACTTTAATTTTGTTTTCTCTCTATGGTAGAGAGAATTGTCAAATTAAATTTATTTTTTTAATTCTTTAATAATTCCATACATGCACACATCCTATTCATTTTCATTGTTATAATCATAGCTTACATTTCATTTAGTAAGTACTTACAATAATCTGGCTTTGATTAATGGTTTGCAGGGATTATATAATTCAATTTAACATTCATGCACAAATATATTAATTTTAGCTCTATTTTATTCTATTTGCATCTCAGAAAAGCTGAGCAACTGAGTCAACACCCCACTTAGCAAGTAGCAGAGATCCTTTCTGCTAAAGCTGATACATTAACATCTCTCTATATAATACTCCTTGATCTCAAGGAACCTAAGACAAGGTAGATAGAAGGATTCTTGAAGCTTGCTGTCAAGCCAAGCCTAGCTGAATGGGGGCAGGGGGATACTCCATGTTAAAGATCCCATCTCAGAATGGCAGCAGGAGGCTGGAGAGGTATTACCTTTCTGGCTTATTCATTTTGGCAATGAAAGAGAAGGATTGTGTAATCCCTATATCTGAAGCTCATCGTTGATTTAAAAAAAAAAAAGGATTATTCCTGATCATTCACCAGGATGATGGTACAAATGGAGTGTGATCAACAATCAGGACTTTTGAAGACCATGATCTATTAGGAGCTGGAGATGGCTCATTTGTGCTCTTCCAGAACAAAGGAGTTCAATTTCCATAACCCATATCAGGTGACTCACAGCTGCCTCTAACTGCAGCTCCAAGGGATCTAACACTTTCCTCTGGCACTCTGACGGTACAAAAACTCACATGCACATACCCAGGCACACACACACACACACACACACACACACACACACACAATTTAAAATAAATCTTTTTTAAAACATGTTACATCAAGGGTTCTTTCAACACACACAAAAAAAACTTACCAATATTATTGAATCTTCAAAAGGAGAAAGAAATTAATCTGACATCTGAATTCTATTAAATTTCATGTGGGTAAACTCACTATCCAGTTTTCACTTCTGGGAGAGGTCAAGTCCGATGAAGCTCCATAATCTTGAAATGCCACGCCCCCCCCATAGTACACACTTAACTAGAAAAGTTCTGTGCTTTTTAAATAATGAATTACATAAGACTGGTTAGGAGGAGTGGCTGGATACTCAGGAGAGGTCTCATAGCCCTCCTTCCTAGGATCATCAACAGTCACCAAGCCCCTAAGCCAGCCCCAACAGGACTCCTTAATAAAGTGGCTCAGGGGATAGCCCTGAATAGCATGATCTATCTAATTGGGTAAGATTGTCTTTTGAATGAATTAGGATCCTATGGATGAAAATAATTGAGATAGTTGCGGTAATTTGTGGAAAAGAAGTGTACTTAAAGATGAACCCCCTGACCTGGAAGTGAAGCTAGAGAACCAGGTGTTGAAATCACCAACATCTGCAGTCAGCAGCAATAGCTTCATGCTAACAAAGCCAGCCCCTCAATCCCAGAAGTCATGAATTCCTACTACTTCCTCTCTCTTTAACCCTCTGCCAAAGATTGAAGTTTGCAATTTTCTTAACTTCAGCTCAACCTTTAGCAAAGATTTTGAGCACTGGCTGAATCTAAAACAATAATATCATTATTTCCCTTAAAGGAAATTCAGTACTGCTAGAAAAAAAAGAAATGAACAATGAATGAGAAGTCACAAGTTACAGAGACCCAATATACCATCCTTAACTGTCTTAATAAATGTTCTTGCTCATTATTAACTCACAATTGTCCTGCTTGGTTTTTGTCAACTTGATACAAACCTCGACATATCTGGGAAGAGGGAATCTTGGTTGAGAAAGACTCCACCAGATTGTCCTGTAGGCAAGTCTATAAGGTTTTACCTAGATTGATGTGGACAGCCCAGCTCACTGGAGGATGGGCTTCTTGACTGGTGGTCTTGCATTAGCTGAAAAAGCAGACTGAGTTAGCAAGTAAGCAGCAGAAGCCTGCCCTGATTGAAGTCTTGTCCTAACTCCCCTCAGCCATGATCTCTGGGATCATAAAATAAAATAAAGCCTTTCCTCTCCAAGTTGCTCTGGTCTTGATGTTTTATCACAGCAATGGAAGCCTTAACCAGGGCAACAACTAGGTAGAAAATTCTCTAAGACCATGCTGCAGATCTGGCACAGTAGGCAGGAGGTTCGTGAGCTTTTAGTCAGCCTGAAATTGTGGGGTTTCAGGGAGACTATGAAGTATTGAGTCAATGTGTATTGTTGACATAATCATGGCCATGTCAAGGACCCCAATGCCTGCAACCCATGGGAATGACAAAGCCCTCCCCAGGTAAGGCTCAGGGAAATTTCCCAGCCTTCCTCTAGTCTAAATCTAAGTGTTTACAAATGATCAACCAGAGTGTGCAAAAACTATCAACCACAGCTTCCTCCTAGATCATGCAGCCTGAGACCCTGCAGAGATGCCCCTCTGAGATTAGCTAAGCCTGCCTCCTTGTCAGCTGTATACAATAAACCTGCCTCTTCCATTTAGATGTATAAGACAAGTGACAAGTCACAGGTTGCTGTTGCTGCAGTCCTTGCTTTCCGTTGGATGAGCACACACCACACCATCACAGCTTTTCTATACATGTGTCTGTGTGTCTCTTCTGTCTTCATTCCCAAGTTGCCCCAGTTAGGTCAATACCTGAAATTTTGGAGAGTATAGTATGGGATTAAATTCAGACTATAAAATTTTTTTTAAAAACTTCATAAGCCCAGGAAATTCCTTCACATTGCTTGATAACTTCGACAAACTAATATAGTAGAATGGATCATTGATTTTTCTTAAGCTGATAATTCAGAGGGTAGAAATTTTGGGGAATCTGTAAGATACTTAGCAAAGATTTGTTCCTGCTGGCAGTAGTCACTACAGATATGATGAGAATGTTTCATCACACATGCTCTGCATCATTTCCACACTAGCAATTGGCCCAGTCATCTCCCCCTCTTTCTTTTCTTCCCTGCCCTTTCCCATCCAAAGTACCTGACTCATCCCACATTTTGAATCTCCCTGCTGGTAACTGTTTTTTCCACTGTATCAGTCCATCTTCTCCCATCTCTTCCAAGCATTATAAAGTGGAGCCAAGGAATGGTGTCAGTGGGCTGTGTCTCTTTAAAAAGGAAACCGTGACTTCCTCTATTTTCAGTGAAGCAAGGAGTGACTCAAAGCCTTTAATGGAGTAGTGCCCAATGCTTACCTAAAGGAGACACTAACAATTGCTTAACTTCAAGCTCATCAGGGAGCAGAGGAGAGGTAAGTGGTGCCCAGTCTTTGATGAGGTACTTGAAAGAGAAGACATATGAGAAATAGTCATTGGAAGGGTTTTGAAAAAAAATAAAGGTTTGGTTGTTTATTGACTTTTTTGGGGCACAGAAAATTGGCTTCCTTCTCCCTACATTGCTGATAAAACAATTTTTCCACCCACCCCATTCAAACTGTTTTCTGTCTTTGATTGCTAGCCTAGTTATGTCACAGATGGCTAAACTAGTAGAGGTATTTCAAGAGAAGTGATATAATTGCAAGTCATCAGAAATAATCTGGATAAGCCTCACTTCAAATTTTATCAAATAAGGGAAACATCCAAGTAAATGTGCTAGATATATACCATGGCTTAGGCACAGCGTGTATATTTGATCTAGGAGTTGTGTTTGCCCAAAAATAGTTCAATGAACTTCTGAAAGCAGAGTCCAAGGAACCAATCCACTTGTTCCACTTTACAAGTGACTCTGGAATACACACAAAAAAAGCTCACTCAAAGGAAGCAAAACAGACAATGCAAAAGCACCCTACAAAGATATCCTTCCAATGTTGCTCCTCAACAGCCCACAGCACAAGTCAAGGCACCATAGAGTCTTGGTAGATCCATGCCAGAGAACTCCATGACAAGTGTATTACTATTCCTGCTCTTCATAACCCTGTTGATGGTAGAAGGGTCTTTCCAAAACTGTCCCTGCATTTCTAGGTGGGGCCATCATATGGTGACAGTTCATTTTCAAGTAGTACATTGTGAGAATTCATGTGCAAACTGAGAGCCATTATCTCTTCTTCTATCACTTAATCATAGGAAACTACCGCTTTCCTCCCCTTCTGAGACCCTATGGTGAGTTGGCAGAAGATACTGGTGCACTAGAGATAGGCAACATATAGATAGGCTTGAGATGAAGGCCATCTAATTTATTTTTGCCTTTTGAACTCGCTCAGGCTTAGTCCAACATGCTCAGCTTCTGTCATAATCCCTTGAAGCACCAATCTGTGTCCTACTACTTATGTTAACTAATAACATCGTGATGGGTGGCTCTAGTTGTATAGTCTCCTGTTCCGCAATAAGGAACATGAGAATCTAGTAATATCCAAAGCTGATTTGGAGTTAGATGTTTCTATTGGCCCTAGTTTCTGGTCCCCCAAAGATGTGATAGTCCTTTTCATTTCAAAGCCTTGTTCTCAAGACTTTCTGCCCAACAGTAAGTCTCTGATTTTTTTTTTTTTTTGGTGTTTTTCGAGACAGGGTTTCTCTGTATTGTTTTGGAGGCTGTCCTGGAACTCCCTCTGTAGACCAGGCTGACCTCGAATTCACAGAGATCTGCCTGCTTCTGACTCCCGAGTGCTGGGATTAAAGGCGTGCGCCACGAACGCCTGGCCTCCTGATTCTTTAACATTTTTTTAATTGTTCATGGTGTGTGTGTGTGTGTGTGTGTGTGTGTGTGTGTGTGTGTGTGTGTGTGTGTTTGGACAAGCAGACAAGCAAGTGCCACAATCCAAGCACAGAGGACAGAGGGCAATGCTCACAAGTCAGTTCTCCCATGCCAAACTCATTTCCTCTAACCTTCAGGCACCTGTGGAAGATCCTCTACTCCCTAAACCATCATGCCATCTTGCTTTTTCATTTTTTAAAGGTTTAGCATAATATACTTTGGTTTCTTGCAACCATATAACTCACATAAATGATACATTATTTGGGCGGGTTAGAGGATTGCTAATTCCTCCATTCACTAAAACTGACCTGTGCATTTCCCCATACTATACAATACTGTCAGAACATTATTTACTAATATGAGGGGCAAAACATATGAAATTGCTTGAGCTTTCTATTGTGCCTAAGAGATGAGAGGCAAGGCAACTCCATTCTTTGCTCTGTGGTAAAGCAAACACTCAGAAGCATGGTTTGCAGTGAACTTTATTCTAGTCTCTCTTCTAGGAGACATTACCATCAGTTCATTCCATTGTTCAAAGCTACAATTACTCTATGGCTGAATCTACCTGCCTTACTCTACAAATTATGACAGCTTAAAATAAAATCACCTTTTTAATGCTTTTCTTAAAATCATATTTTAAGAGATGAGGGCATTAAAGCTGTAAAAACTTCATGTTACTCATATGCTGCTTTTCATAGAAGAAAAATTTCCAAGAGATTGGTCAAAGAGATGGGCAGGTAAGAGTAAGCAGGACAAGAGTAAGAAGAACTGTCACTTAATTCCTTCTTCAACCTCTACAATGTTATCAACAGACGTCTACCAAAAGGACAAAATTTTAAATGGACTGCAACCAGCTACACTTGTATATTTATATCTTAACAGGATAAAATAATAAAATCAATTAACAGACATTCTTAGGTGACACATGCGAATGTCTTCAGATGTACAATAGATGACAAAAATGCAGAGAAAAAAATCCAAGAAATGACTCAGGGCAACCTGATGAGGCCAACCAATTTCAGCATCAGGAAGGCGGTTATATTTGTAAAAGAATGTTTCTGGGGGATGGAGAGATGGCTCAGCACTTGAGCATCCAAATCTGGTTCCTAGCACCCAACTCAGGCAAATCCTTGAGTGAGTCAAGGGTCAAAGCTCACAGTCAAGGACTCTGACTCTTCTGGCTTCCACAGACACCTGCCCATACACTCCACACAGACAAATGCACACCTACACATAACTTTTTTAATTTTAATAGTTGCTGGGGTGGCTAGTGCAGTTCAGTCTCCTGAGTGAGGTGGTAGCTGGAAGAGTATAGTTATGCAATGATTTGTAATTTTGTATTTAACAGTACGGATATTTATAGAAAATAAGACTCTTAACAGTCTTAAAGGAGTGGGAAAGTGTTCATAATGGAACAAAGGATTCAAAATAGTCGAGATGGAGGG